GGCGCTGGACTGGCCCACGGTGCCGGCCACGCCCGCCCTGGCCGAGGTCTGGGCTGGTTGGGTTGGCTGATCGGGAGACGGGCGTGGGCTTGGAGCGGGGCTTGGCTCGAGGCTGCGCCTGGCTTGGGTCGGCCGCTAAAAATTCACACGCCCTCCCTTTGATCTTTTTTTCCGCTCTCTCGCAGAGGCGGCCAGCTGGCTGGCGAACGCCCGCGCGCCGCTCACCGAATCCACTCGGCAGGCTGGGCTGGCTGGGCCGGGGCAGCGCGAGCCCGCCCCTTCGTCGGTGCGAGCAGGCTCGACTCGAGGCCAGCGCTGGCAGCAGCGAGCCAGCGAGGAAGGCCCGACCAGCCAAGAGAGAGCACGCCCAGCCCGGCCTGCCCAGCCAAAGGGCGGGGCAGCAATTCAAGATTTTTGAATTGCGCGGGGCAAGGCCAATTCAAGTCGAGGTCCAGATTGAAGTGGCAGCTCAAGTGAGTGTTGAGCCTGGCCCGCCGCCAGTCCACTGAGAGCAAGGCAGAGGCGTCTGCTCACCATCTTCTCGAACCCCTCCATCACCCTCCCGTCCGATCCCCCCTCAAGATATCCGACAATGGCTGCTAGACCGAGTAAGCATCATCAGCGGTGACGACGACCACGACGCCCGAACGATCGAACGAAGCACCGGCATCAGCACCAGCACGAGCGACCAGCACGACCTACGATCGACCGATCGACCTTTGCCAGAGACACGTACCGACGACCATGGCGACACCTAAACGAGCGCCAGCATCGAAAGACGGACCGGCACTCTTGTCATTACGTCGCCGCTTTGCGCAGCCGCACTTCGCATCGACCCTTTGCGCACCCAGCACCTCGCAGGAGACAGCCCCAGGTGGAACGAGAGTTGGCATTCAGGCCTCGGGAGGCACAGGGGGCTGGGGACAAACGACGTCGGGAGCACGAAGTCGAAGGGAGGGTGGTCTCGATCTGCGAACGATTGGCAGGCTTCGTCTCTTGCGGTCGCTGGAGAGCCTTTGGCCAGACGAGTCAGGATAGATGTCGTCCCTGAAGACGATGCTGCTCTGGATCCAGATGGGCCGGCCATTTGAACCAGCTGGACAGGGCCGCTGACGCCATGAGGGCGGTGGAAGGCGTCGGAAAGTGCCGGAAAGCTGCTCTGCGCCGAGGTGCTGGGTTTTCTGCCGACAAGAAATCTCGACATCCGACAAAACGACTGGTCGCTCGCTCGCTGGTCTTCGGGCGTCTACGTCTCGTCACAGTGCGCAATGCCGATTCAAAGGCATGCTGCGGGATCGTCTTTGCTGACGGCGACCACCTCCCTCTTCGTCTTTTCACCTTGACTTTCTCAGCTGTTAACGTTAGGGGTCTCGACGGTGCCGCCTCCGGCTCGCTCCCCCTCCCCGCCGTCTTCACGGCCCCCATCCGCCCTGATGTCGTTCAGGCTGTTCACAGTGAGTATCGAGACGCTCCACGGCGGTCGCTCCTCCCCCCTCCAGAGGAAGCCTGGCGGAAACGCTCCGCGAAGGGGACTCGTACCTGCGGCGTCCTGTCCGACCCACGGCAACGGCGTATCTGACCGCTGTGGTCTACTCGCCTCTGCCACTTGACCTCCCCGCCTCGCAGCCAACGTGAACAAGAACAAGCGCCAGCCCTACGCCGTCTCCGAGAAGGCCGGTCACCAGACCTCGGCCGAGTCGTGGGGTACCGGTCGTGCCGTTGCCCGTATCCCCCGTGTCGGCGGTGGTGGTACGCACCGCTCCGGCCAGGCCGCTTTCGGTAACATGGTCCGCGGTGGTCACATGTTCGCCCCGACCAAGCTGTGGCGCCGCTGGCAGATCAAGACCAACCTGAACCAGAAGCGCTACGCTACTGCTTCGGCCCTGGCTGCTACCGCCGTCCCCTCGCTCGTCCTTGCCCGCGGCCACCGCGTCGAGGAGCTCGAGGAGATCCCTCTTGTCGTCGCCGACGCCGCCGAGAGCCTCAAGAAGACCAAGGAGGCCGTCGCTCTCCTCAAGTCGGTTGGCGCCTACGCTGACGTCGTCAAGGTTTCGAACTCGCGCCAGCTCCGCGCTGGTGTCGGCAAGATCCGCAACCGCCGCCACACGCAGCGCCGCGGCCCCCTGGTCATCTACGGCCAGGACAACGGCATCGTCAACGCGTTCCGCAACCTGCCCGGCGTCGAGGTGTGCTCGGTTGACCGCCTCAACATCCTCCAGCTTGCCCCCGGTGGTCACCTCGGCCGCTTCGTCATCTTCACCGAGTCGGCCTTTGGCCGCCTCGACGAGGTCTTCGCCTCCAAGACTGGCTTCACCCTGCCCGCCGCCAAGGTCTCGAACCCCGACGTTGCCCGCATCATCAACTCGGGCGAGATCCAGTCGGTCTGCCGCGAGAAGGGCCCCAGCAAGAGCAAGAGGCCCTTCACCCAGCGCAAGAACCCGCTGCGCAACCGCGCCGTCCTCTTCCGCCTCAACCCCTACGCCCAGGCGGCCATCCGCTCCGAGATCCGATCCCAGTCGGTCAAGAAGTCGGCCAAGAAGGAGCCCAAGCAGGTCGCCTCGAAGGAGTTCCTCGACCTCCTCTTCGCTCCCTAAGCGGAGTAGCGGCGGTCCGTCGTTTGCCTCCTTTGTCCACCTCCTTCTGCTTCTCGCTCGCTTCTTGTCGGTCTCTTCCCTTGCCCTCGTCGGCGCACCCGCCTCGCCGCCGTCTCGTGGGAGCGGAGGCGAGGTGCCATCCTCCTCCTGCCTATGCGCACCCATGCCTGTCTGATAGCACAACCCAACCTCCCACCCAAAAAACTTCTCTACGCAGCCTCACACACGCACGCTCGCATACGCACCGCCCCTCTCCTTTCTGGCAGCGAAGGGGTCCCATCTTCGCCCTTTGCCGCCGCACCCAACCAACCAACCAACCAACCAACGAAACAAAAACGGGAGGGCGACGGACCGTCAAGCCTCGTATCACGCGCAGCCGCTTCGACGTACGTCGTCCTCTCTCGCCTGGCCCTCGAGGGCCACGGTGCAACAGGGCCGAGCCAGAGAGGCGTCCCTTCATGACGGGTGGTGCCTCTCTCGCTCGACCCTTGACTTGCAAGCCCCCCCTCCGCTCTCCCGTGTAACCTTAGTCGCCCATCCTTTCCTCCGCCCTGGCTGAGGACGATGTGTGGTCGGGGGTCCTCCTCCCCTTGCAAGACAATCTGATACGCAAACCAGCTAACCGGGCGTGATACCACGGCTCTGCACGGCTGGATCTGCAGGGCGAGAGGTGGGCCGCGTGCGTAGATGTCTTGTCGAGCGCAGAGCACCCGTGATGCGGTCCTTCAATGTACGTGCTCGGAGCCGGTGCGGGCGGGCAGGCGGCGGTTCCGAGGATATGGTCTAGCGCGGTGTGTGTCGGCCGTGTGCGCCTTCTTCGCCACCGGTGCCTCCTTCCCAAAGTTTCCCGCTCGCCGCACTCCGTGTCTTGGTCTCGCAACGCCATCCAATCACATCTTCAGCATCTCCAGACGAACTCGTCTGCGAAGATGCACCTCGACTTGCAAACGCACCCTGTGCTCCGCACTGCCGCTCGTCCCCATGGGCTGCCGGGCGTCGCCGTGCTTGCTTGCACAGCTGGTGCACCACTCGCAGCCAGGTTGCGCCTGCCAGGTAGCGGCAGAAGCAAGCAGGTACTGTACGTTCCACGCCATGCCATGCTACACTGCGCGACACGGCCAGACGGAGACGATTGGTGGAAAGACGCCGTTGCAGGTCACGACGCCGGCACAAACGGCGCGCACTGGTCGTGACACCTCGGTGGACGAAGAGGCGTTGCTCGGCTTCTCCTGCCTTGTTGCTGCTCACCGTAATTGTCCGGCTTCGTGCCAGGAACGAGGGCCCGACGTACAGCCATTCGACATGTGGCATGCACGCGAGCCAGAGGGAGGTCGAGCGAGCATGGCATAGGCAAAGTCGGCGTATTGCTGCGGCCGCCGAGATTTTGACTCTCGTCGACCGTCCACAGCAGCCGATGGTGGAGCCGCACCGTCACGAGCTCAAGGGTCGCTGGTCCCTACCGCCCGCCCCCCTGGACCACCATGTCGGTCCCGCGCCGATTTCCGGGAGGAGCGATGGGAGATCCGCTCCTGCCTGCCTGTCTGCCTGCCGGCCCTCTGGTCATCGAGAGAGAGCGACTCACTTTGAATTCTTGGCAGGGACCGCGCAACTGCGACGGCAAGGCCGGTTCATGCTGTTGCGAGAGTTTAAGACGCGAAGGCTCGCCGGCCCTCGCTCTCGTCCGGCTTTGGGCAGCGGCGGCTTTGCCGGCGTCCACCCCCAAGTAAGCCAAACGCGGCGGGCGGCGTTGACCGGGGGGCAGGGCTGGCAGGCCGAGTTCAAACTCCTCCTGCCCAGCGCGAAGCGTGGTGACGGCGAGGCGAATCTCTCGGGCAAATCCATCGACAGCGGACAGCAAGAGACCGACGCCGAAAAACGCACGCGGACACGAAGCCTGTCTGCCGCCTGCCAGCTCACGCCTGGCGGGACCGAACCGATCCAGCCAAAGGGTCTGTCGGAGCTGGAATCGAGACCCGTCCGCCCCATCGAGGCGGCTGAGCTACCGCTCGACCTCAGCTTGGCGGAGCCGGAGAAACAGGTTGAGCCAGCCGGTTTCCTTCCGAACCTACGAAATGCAGCTGCGGAACGCTCGCGCGCACGATGGTGGGAACGAAACTCGAGCCCAACGTCTGTTCTGCTGCCTGCGGCCTGCCCCTCGCCGGCAATATCGGTCTACGCCAGAGGCAGGCCTGAAAGCGAGCATCGGAGCGACCTCTCTGGATCTCGGGCTTCACCGAGAAAGGCGCGAAGGCGAAAGCCGTCCCTTGGTCACCTGGTCTTGTCTGTGTTGGTGATGCGGTATCCACCTTGTACTCTGCTGTCGAAGTCGCGCATGGGATGGTGAGGATTGAGCCCTCGCCCGTCGAGTAAGGCCCACCGCAGTCTTGTCTGTCCGTATGTTTGCTATCGATGTGCCATCCCATGTCAGCGCACGAGGGCGCTTGCTCTGCCAGGACATTATTGAGGCGCATGCACGACGGGTGCGCGGCGACGGCGTGCGGCTGAGCCGCAGTTGCGGTGGCACGGGTACAGGTAGGTGCCCGTAGGAGCAGCTCGAGCGGCCAGCAGGACAAGGTGGCGGTCACGGGCAGGCAGATCGTCCAGGCAGGCAGGGTGGCCCAGTTCCGACGGCCGTAGTGAGCTGAGAGCTGCAGCCGGACGACTCGGCAACACCGTACCTCGCTCTCTTCTGTTGTGTCGCTACCGAGCAACGTGCGCGGTTTTGTCGCCGTCGGTCAACGCCGCCTGTTCGCTCCGCAACCTCGAGCCACCCCCACCCAACCGTTCGTGATCAGGCCATGAGCGCAGGCAAGCTACGGTGCTCGTGGTGGCAGCGCGTGTCGCCGACGAAGGGTCGAGCTGAGAGGGGCAGTTTCGGGCTGAGCAGAGGGCACAGACGACACCGCCGGACCGGATCCTCAGGTGCTTCGCAGGAAAGGTGCTCGCATCAATGCCGTGTCGCACGAAACTTCAGCCGGCCAGGCCGGCCATGTCGCTGCCTGGTCTCTGTCCCCCTTGGCGCTACCGCCGTAAGTACCTAGACCAGACTGTACTCACATGAAACGCTCGCCCACTCTGCTTGCGGTGAAGCCGAAGCTGGTCTTGGGTTAGGTAGGGCGATTCACGCCAAGACATGAGTGGACAAGTGCTTTTCCTGCCTCATCGGCACCCAGTCTCGTGGAGCGACCCGTCGGCACCAACAGCCTAAGATCGACAAAGAGGCGGGGGGGCACGAGGTTATCCACGTTTGTCTACGGTACCTACGTAGACGAAGCGTGACCAGGGAGGCAGGATCGAGCGAGCCTGCGCCCCGGCAGCCCCGAGAAGTGGCTGCCAGACGTGCACCGGTGTGTGTGTGGCAACAAGGCCTGGGGGCGGGCGGCGCGCTACAGCGGCGCGCCCTCCGGCTACCGATGGGCGGGCGACCCGAACGGAAGCGGAAGAGGAGCGTGTGTAGCGTCGCGCAAACGAGCTCGCACGCGGATCTGGTGCCCTGGGTCCCCGGCCTCTGCGTCTTGCGCCCACCCTTCTCCGTCGACGCTAGGCCTACCTGTCCCTAACTACCCATCCTCTCGTGGCCTGCCCCCCGCTCATCCATCCATACCTAGCAAGGGGCGACAGAGCAAGCTAGCCAAGCAGGTTTCCCCGACTGACCCCCGTTTCGGTTCCTGCCCGTTCCTCTCGCTGGCCTGCCTGCTTACCCCGCTCGCCTGCCCGCGACCAACGCCGTTCGGCCTCGTCCCCACCACCGCCGCCGCCGCCGCCGCCGCCGCTGCTCTGGGCCCTTTTGGCTCCAACCGCCCACGCACTGCCGGTAACCGAGCAGCCAAGGCCAGGACGCCCGCGCGAGCGGCCAAAATCGCCTAGCGAGCTTAAATAGAGGGTTCTGGCTTGTCCCTACGACGCATTGCACTTCCCTTTCCCCCCCATCTCGTTCGACTCCATCCACCTCCTAATCCTCCCTGTCCCCCCCTACGCTGTGGTTCTCGAAACAAGGCTCGACCTCCTCTGCCGTGGTCGTCCGTTTCGCGTATCGTAGACACCTCTCCTCTTCTTTTTCATCCCTACCCTTTCCCCTCTGGACCTACCGTCGCCTCAACCGCCCACCATGGAGAAGCAGGACGCCAGCGGCGCCGTCAAGGCGGAGAAGTCGCCCCAGCTCTCGTCCGATGGCGGCGACGCCGAGAAGCAGCTGTCCAAGGAGGTCGCCCAGCAGTTTGGCAGCCGCGTCGAGTCGAGCGCCGTCGACGACATCTACGAGCGCAAGTGCTACATCCTCAACAAGGTGCTCAACGAGCACATCGGCATGGGCAAGGTCCAGTGGCAGGTCTTCTTCCTCTCCGGCTTCGGCTGGTTCTGCGACAACATGTGGCTCCAGGGCGTCGCCATCGCCCTGCCCCAGGTCTCGCGCGAGTTCAACATCCCCTCGGACGTCCGCTGGATGACCTTCTCGCTCTACATCGGGCTCATCTTTGGCGCAGCCACCTGGGGCATCCTCGCCGACGTCATCGGACGCAGGCCCTCGTTCAACATCACCCTCTGCCTCGCAGGCATCTTTGGCATCGCCGCCGGCGGCGCACCCAGCTTCGTCGGCCTCGGCGGCCTCTTTGCCGCCCTCGGCTTCGGCCTCGGCGGCAACCTCCCCGTCGACGGCACCCTCTTCCTCGAGTTCGTCCCCGCCAACAAGCAGTACCTCCTCACCCTCCTCTCCGTCTTCTGGTCCATCGGCCAGCTCGTCGGAAGCCTCATCGGTTGGGCCTTTATCGCAAACTACTCTTGCAGCGGCGACGAGTCCAACACCCCCTTCGACGGATCCATCCCCTGCAACACGGCGGACAACAAGGGATGGAGGTACTTCTTTTTTTGCATTGGAGCGATCACTTTCGTCTTCTTCTTGCTGCGTTTTGCCGTCTTCAAGCTGCCCGAGTCGCCCAAGTTCTACCTGGCCAAGGGGCGCGACGCCGAGGCTGTTGCGACGATGAAAGAAATTGCGCGACGCAACGGGATCGAGCTCGGTGACGATGTGCTCAGCGTCGAGATCCTTCGCAGTGCTGCTGGCCAGGAGGCCGACATGGATGCCGCCCACCACCAGGTCGAGGAGGAGCCCAAGGGTATGGCCGCCATCACGTCGCTGCCTTCGCGCGTCGCGGGCAGCTTTAAAAACGTCAGCTTCACGCCCGACCTGTCGCACATCAAGCCCCTCTTCCGCGGCGCCAAGATGGCCTACACCACCTCGGCCATCTTTATGCTCTGGTCGCTCATCGGCCTCGCTTACCCGCTCTACAACGCATTCCTGCCCATCTACCTCGAGAGGGCGCAGGGCGTCAGCGGAAGCTCGTCGGTCGACGTCACCTACCGCAACTACGCCATCATTTCCATCTGCGGTGTGCCCGGCTCGATCATCGCCGCCTACCTCGTCGAGCTGCCGCGCACCGGCCGCCGTGGTGCCATGGCTCTGGGCACCCTGCTCACTGGAATCTTCCTCTTCGCCTTCACCACGGCCAAGACCAACGGCGCCGTGCTGGGCTTCAACTGCGTCACGGCCCTCACCCAGAACATCATGTACGGCGTCCTCTACTCGTGGACGCCCGAGACGTTCCCGGCGCCCCACCGCGGCACCGCCGACGGCATCGCCTCTTCGCTCAACCGCATCTTTGGCGCCATGGCCCCCATCATCGGCATCTACGCCGTCGGATCGGCGCCCATCTACGTCTCGGCCAGTCTCTTCATCGCCGCGGCCCTCATCATGGTCACTGTGCCGTCCGAGACCGTGGGCAAGAACGCGCTCTGAGCCGACGGCACGGCACCGCCCTCTCCCCACACCATCGCCCAATCGGTTGCTCCTTGTCCCTCGCTCTCTCTGAGCTTACGAGGGATGAGGAGCTTGCCACCAAAAACAACGCCTTGCAAGATACCAGGATCCGGGTCGCGGCGCAGCGCGTAGAGGCTCGCTGCTCCCACGCAGACCAGTCTCGCCCGCCGCGCCGTAGACACTCTGAGATTTCCACCTTTGCTGTAATTTGCTGTCACGCCACGATATATTTCACCTTGCCAAGAGAATTGAATGAATGCACGAAACGGACGCGGAGTGGGTTGCGTACGGTGTGAGACTGGTTCAGGCCTGCTTTGTCGTTGCGCTCTCGGTCGGCAGGTCGGCGGCGGCGGCGGCGGCTGCTGCCGTGTCCTGAGCGGCGACGGTGGCAGCGGGTCCGAAACCGCCAGTGGAGCCAAAGCCGCCTGCGCCCCTGGCGGTGTCATCGAGGCTGGACACTTCCTCTACGGGAGGAGTCGAGATCTGTTCAATGACGAGCTGCGCGATCCTGTCTCCTTCGTTGACTGCGTGCGCGGTCGAGATAGAGGCGGGTGTTGACAAGGCGAAGCGCGACCGAGTGGAGCAAAGGAGGATTCAGCTGGAGTTCTGATGGGTCTGAGTGGGGGGGGGGGGGGGGGGGGGGGGGGGGTTAGGGTCGGCCACGTACTGGTAAAGTCTGCATCGCCGAGGTTGAAGAGGAGGACGCCGAGAAGGCCACGGTAGTCGGAGTCGATGACGCCTGCTCCGACGTCGATGCCGTGCTTGGAGGCTATTGCGAGCGGGCGCGAAGATGGGGAACAAGTACACACATCTGATCAGCCTTCACATTCTGATCATTGATCTTGCCCCGCGCAGGCGAAGGAGGGGGTCTTTCTCGAATCGACACTCACCAAGACCGCTGCGAGGTGCAACACGGCCATAGTGTCCTTCTGGGATGGCGAGCGAGATGCCCGTCTGAACGACCTTGCGTTTCCCCCGTTCGATGGTGACCTTCTCGCTCGAGTACAGATCGTACCCTGCCGCCGAGGCGCTACCGCGGGTAGGCAGCTTGGCAAGAGGGTGGGCGGGGTGGCGGCATACGAGGAGGCGCAGTGCCGAGGCCGAGGCCGAAGTCGACTGCGTAGGGAGGGACATTTCGGAGTCGAGGTGCGTCGTCTTGAGCTGCTTGTTCGGTCTTTCGGTGGTGGAGTAGCTCGAGTCGATGGTCATGTTCGAGCGGAGGGGGATCGGATGAAGCGTTTGGGGGTGAAGAGAGAGGCGAGAGGAAAGGGTCGCTCGCCGCTGGTGGTGGTGTTGCTCTGGTCGCCCGGAGGGTTTTTCCAGGCAGCCTAGCCTGGGCTGGGTGTTGGATCCACGTCGCGCCTGCCCCGGCGCGAGTAGGCGTGCACTTTTGACTTCGCGTTGAGTGAATCGACCTTATTGCGCCAGGCGCGGGCGGACGTTCATCGCGATCACCCAGCATCGCCTGGCCTGACAGGGCCAGCCCTGGTAGCTCAGCCCGCGTGATACGACCGACTCAGCTCTACCTCGTCCCATGCTCGCGTCCACCAGCACATCCGCTCAGCTCGCACATGCACGCAGCAAGGCAAACCCCACAGCGTCCGTGCGTCGCCACGGTCCAGTCTCAGTCGGGCCCACGTGGCGGAGACAGACAGATTCAGCTCGCCGTTCGCCACCGCTCATTGCGCCGGACCGCCACGAATACGAACGAAGCCGCACGCAGCCGATCCAAGCTGGCCAGGATGGTGAAATGGTGATGCAGGGCACGGATCAAAGGTGGGCAGAGAGAGACTATGTGTACGAAGGGCCAGACGGTGGCAGGACTGGACAAGGATCGCAGCTTCGGCGACCACGACAACGGCGACGACGACGATGGTCGAGGCCATCTGGGAGGCGCCAGTGAAGTCACAAGTGTCTCGGAGGATATATCTTGGATCGGCGCACGGCAGCGCGCGGACCACGGAAGCAACAGCGAAACCTCTGCAGAGGAAACAACATCGGACATCGAACGAACCCCATCCACCCGCACCGGCCTCGACGACATGCTGCTGGCGATGGCGCGCCGCGGCTCAGGCGGCGGCGGCGGCCGGCTTGGTCTTGCCCGTGCTCTCGATGATCTGGAGCACGTACTGCTTCTCGTCGACAAACTGCTCGTCGTCCTTGTCGTTGTGGAAATTGCCCAGGAAAGCCACGAGCCGCTCGCGGTTGCGGCGCAGGATGTTTTCAATCACGGGCGGCTTCTTGGGGTTGGCGACAAACACCTTGAACACGTGGAACGCCTCAAACTGGATGTTTTTGCTGCGGTCGCGCAGCAGGTTCATCATCATCTTGAGGTTGTCCTCGGAGCTGATGTAGCGCGTCATGACGTTGAAGTTGGTGCGGTCCAGCAGGATCTCGCCCAGCAGCTTGAGCGACTGCCGCTTGGTGACGTAGTTGGGCGACATGAGCAGCTCCGTGTACATGGCAAAGAAGCGGTCGTAGTTGTGCTCGAGGTAGTCGGCCACCATGGCCTTGTGCCGCGTCAGCGTCTCCTTGAAGTTGGCGAACGCGTCGCACGAGATGCCAAACGTCGTCTTTTCAATGTAGTCGGGGAACGTGTAGAAGCGCTCCGAGTGGAGGAGGAGCTTGGCCAGCGGCTCGTGCCGCAGCATCTCGCGGAGGATCATGCCCGTGTTGAGCGCCACCTCGGGGTTCTCGTAGCCGCGCAGCGCCGTGAAGAGGACCTCGGGCTTGGTCGAGAGGTACTCGACCGTGGGCCACCGCGTGCCAATCTGGCGCCGCAGCAGGTTGTTGAAGATCTGCGACACGTCCTTTTTCGCCTCAAATTCGAGCTTGGAAATGTCGCGGACGAGGAGCTGGAGGAGGTCGTTGTTGTACACCTCCTGCGCCAGCTGGGCCACCTGGTCGGGCTGCGGGTCGTTTTCGCCGTCGCCGTAGAGGATGACCTTGATCTGGTAGAGGTTCTTGCTGACCTCCTCGGACGCCTTTCTGCGCGATTCCGACGAGCCGGAGCCGACGAGGCCGCCGCCGGATATGCTGGCCGAGGTGCCCGAGGAGCCGGACGAGGTCGAGTGGGAGGAGCCGGTGCCGAAGCTGTGGCCGGACCCGGAAGCCGAGGACGAGGAGCCGGCGGCGGACGACGAGGAGCCGCCTGCGCCGCCGCCGCCCGAGGCCGAGGACGAGGAGCCGCCGGTGACGTGGTCGAGGCGGATGAGGGCGTCGCGGAGGTGCCTGACGAGCTCCGGCGGGGTGCGCTGCTTCGTCTTGAAGATGAAGTTCATCTGGGCCGAGTCGAGTGGCCTGGGTGGGCAGCGGAGCGGTGGCTTTGGCCGCGGCGAGCAGCGGGACAAGGACTGAGAGGGCAGTACTCGGTACGAGGCGGGCGACGGCCGTGGGTGGCGATGCGCGAGCGCAGGCGTGTGGTGCTGGTTGAAGATGGCTAGAAGCGCTGGGAAGGGCGATGCGATGCGATGCGAGACGGGCGGGAGGTCGAGCTAGGCTGCGCTGGGGCTGGGCTGGGCGATGCGAGCGAGGCGGTGAGGGTGGCGTGTGGGTCGTGATTGGTGCTGGTGAGGCGGTGCAGGCGAGCAAAGTGAGCAGGCAGTCAGGTAGAAGAGCGAGCAAGCGAGCGAGCGAGTAGGTGTGATGGTCGAGGTGCAGAGGCAAGCAAGCCGTCGGGCCTGTTCCGATCTGGACCTGCTACGGTCTCGTCGTTGGGCGGGCGGTGGGGAGGGGAGGGGAGGCGGGCCTGGCCTGCGCAGTGAGGGAGGCCGATGCGGCGGCGGTGCGGTGATGCTGTGTGCGTGGGCGGTGCAGGGCAGCGAGGGCAGGCAGGCAGGCAGGCGTTGGTTGTTGTGTTTTTTGGAGTTGGCTGGGTGGGCTGCCCGCCCCCTGCATGCATGCACGCTCGACGCTGGCTTGCCTGGCCCGGCCTGCCTCTGGCCCGCCTGTCCTGTCACCCTGCCAGCCGAGGCAGGCAGGCGTTGCGCCCCTGAGTCGGGTCACCCGCGGGCGGGTCCAGCCAGTGCGGGCGGGCTCAACTGCCAAATCGGGCGTGGCCTGGGCCTGCAGACCGGGCGGGCAATTTTGTGCTCAATTTGGCCTGGCTTTTTTCTTTTTCGGAAGACGGGGCAAAGCCAAGGGTCCACACAGACAGACAGAAGGAGGCAGCCCGCTCGGCAGGCCGCTCGCCTTTCTTCTGCCCGGGGCCGGCCCAATTCCTCCACACTACTGCTCCCAGCCTGCACCACCGTCACCTACCGCCACCAGCCAGCCGCCGTCGCCACCATGGCAGGCCCATCAAAGAAGCGCAAGCGCAACTCGTACGCCAACGGTAGCAACAGCAACGGCGACCGCAGACATGCACTCACCGACAACGACCGCACCCACGGCCCGGGCTCCGTGTACGCGTCCATCCCGCCCTCGCTCCTCTCGCTCGCCCTGACCACGTCGCACTCGCTGCCGCCGGCGCTCCAAAAGTACTGGTGGAAGCGGCACACGCTCTTCTCGCTCTTCTCGTCGGGCATCCTCCTCGACGAGCAGTCCTGGTACTCGGTCACCCCGGAGCCCATCGCCCACCGCATCGCCACCCGCTGCTCGTCGACCACCGCCCTCGACGCCTTTTGCGGCGCAGGAGGCAACGCCATCCAGCTCGCCCTCACCTGCGAGCGCGTCGTCGCCATCGACATTGACGAGAACAAGATCCGCCTCGCCAGGCACAATGCCCAGATCTATGGCGTCCAGGACCGCATCACCTTTTGCCACGGCGACTACATCGACTTTGTCCACGACGTCCAAGAGTGGCGTAGGCGCAAGGACCGGCGGAATGACGGTGATAGCGGCGGCCAAGGCCAAGACCGGGGAGAAGAGGATGAGCAGTCGCAGCGACCTTCGAAATGGAACGACGCCGAGAAGCTCGACATCGACGTCGTCTTCCTCTCTCCGCCCTGGGGAGGCGTCGGGTACCTCGAACCGGCCTCGATGGCAAACACGCCCACCACGTCGCCCTCGAAGCCCACTGCCACCGTCGCCTCCCCGTCTCCGCCTCCGCCTCCGTCGACGCAGTCGGCCTACACCGACATCTACCCGCTCTCGCTGCTGCAGCCGCTGCCGGGCAAGCAACTCTTTGACCTCACCTCGACCATCACGGGCGATATTGCCTTTTACCTTCCGCGCAACTCGGACCTCGACGAGATCGCCAACCTCGTCCCGCCATCCGCAGAGGGTGAGGGCGAGGGCGAGAACGGGGTCAAGATCAAGGTCGAGGAGCAGTACCTCGGTCCCAAGCTGTCGGCCATCACCTGCTACTTTGGCAGGCTCGCCAGCGACTGGGACGATGAGACGGATACGTGGAGGACGACTTGAGAGGCGGCCTGCGGCGACGGCATGGGCCGATGTGCGCCGAGTGCAGGTCTGTGCTTGCTTGCATTTACCTCGAGCGACGGACGACGTAGAAGGTCGGGTTCTATGCTTGCAAATGACGCGGGGCAGACATACGCACCCACCCACTCATCCACTCAATGTACAACAACAAACGACCACGCTGCATGATCTATCTCTCCTCTCCTCCCCTCTCCTCCCCTCGACCCTCGCTGTCTCTCTCTCTTCGCGGCGGAGAGACGAGTCGCCAGCAATACTGTAGCTGGAGGGGCGAGCGCTAGGCCTCGTGGATCCACTTTGCGATGCGCCGCCAGGTGGAGCTGCGTTCAGGTTCAAACCAGCTGAAGAGGAGGTAGTCGTGGATGGCATCCTTGACCTCGTCGAGGATGACGACACGCTCCTCGAGCTCGTGGTGCGGCTGCGCGCGGTCGTCGTGCTCCGGGTGGTACGACGAGGTGGCCGTGGCGCCGCTGGCCACTGACCACGTCGAGCCATTGTTGCTCAGGCTGTCGAGGTGCGATGAGGATGCCGACGCCGAGGGGGAGGCCTGCATCCAGGGCGTCAGCGGCGATACCTCAGAGTACGCCCGCCGACGCGGTCCGCTCGGTGGAGCTGGGAAGTTGGTGCGTCGTCGTCCCAGATCAAAGTAGGATCCTCCCCCTCCCCCTCCCGCGCCATCGCCGCTTCGGCCTGTCCTGCCCTCGTCATCGTCGACGGCGTCGGCTTCAGACTCGGGAGGCGAGATGCGGATCTGCGGCGTCGTCGGCACCGTGTTGCTCGGCTCTCGGCGGAAGAGCTTGTTCTTGAGGCGATGCCGGCGCTGCTTGCCCTCCCCGTCTGTGGCCCGCTGCGACGACATCGACGAAGACCCAGCGTCGTCGTCGTCGTCGTTGTCGTCGCCGATGAAATCTTGCGCTTTGATGACGTCGTCGGCCTCGTCGTGCTGGGCGCAAGTGCCGCTGTCGGGACGACGCTCCTGCGCGCCTGCCGAGCCGGCGCCAGCCTGGCCGCGGCTGCCCTTGCGCTTCTTGGTCGCCTCCTCCGTCATCCTGCCGGCGGGCGCGGCGAGCGAGTAGCCCTCCTGGCCCCGACGCACCTTGGCCATCTCCTCCGTCTGCCGGTCCTCGTCTCTCGCCAGCTCGACGTCGATGGCCTCTCGCTGGGCCGCGTTGGCGTCCTCAAGCTCCCTCTGCTCGCCCCGTGGCCGCGGCGCCTCGCCCTCCCTGCGGTGGCTCGGCAGCGCGTCGGCCTCCCTGAGGTCCTGCTTGAGCTCCTTCTCTTCCATCTGCTGCTGCCGCTGCGAGGGCAGCATCGTCTCGTCGACCTTTTCCGACGTGGCCGCGTCCGTCCGCGACGAGTCGACGGGTCGCATCGCGCCCATCTTGACCTGGTCCGAATCGGTCCGGTGGTTGACCGAGGGGCTCACGCCGTCCTTGGAGCGCGTCCGCATCACAATCTCGCCGGCCGACGACACGAGCTCCTCGATCGACGCCTCGGGCTGTCCGTCGGAATCCTTATCGTTGTCTGAGAAGAGCTCAGAGGCCGCCGCCCGCTCCTCGTTCTCATGCTCCTGCTCGGCAGGCGTCGTCTCCGACCCAGGCGTGCTGCCGGGCGTCGTGGCCGAGCTCAACGAAATCTTGAGCCCCTTTGGACGCGGGTAGTCGTACCGTCCCGCCAGCTTGGCCGGATCCTGGCCCTTGCTCAGCTTGTCGCCCGTATAGATCGGAGCGCCGTGCTTGGTGCCCGCGGCCATGCGGTGCGCCAAGGTGAGGTGCTGGTCGTACGAGATCTCGGCGCTGCCAGTGGTGATGTAGATCCGCTTCGGGAAGCCCTCAAATCCCCAGAAGGGGCCCTTGCCGCCCTTGTGCGGCGGAAGCTGCAGCGAGATCGACGAGAGGTACGGGTTGCGGTACGTCTCCCGCGCCGGCAGCTCGCCGAGGAAGGCCGACACCGCCGTGTTGCGGAAGGCGAGGCAGGGCGAGATAATGTCCGACTTGATGTTGCGATGCGCCGTCGACATGAGGTTGGGCGCGCCCGTCGGCCCGCTGTGCGATCGCGAGCAGTCGGCCCACGGCGACATCAGCAGCAGGCTTCCCGGCATCGGCATCACCTTCTCATCCCTCAGATAGCGGCACAGCGCGATGCCGAGGTTGCCGCCGGCGCTATCTCCTGCGACGATGACGTCCTCCGGGTGAAAGCCCAGGTCTTCGATCAGGTATCGGTAGCCTGCGAGTGCATCCAACAGGGCGGCCGGGTAGCTGCCAGCCTGCGGCTTGCCTGGAACGCAGAGCCGGTAGTCGAGGCTGAAGGTCCGCAGCAGCCTGCCGGCCTTGGCCGAAGGGTCGGTGTAGTCGGTCGTGCTGACCTTGGGTCCCGCCTTGGCCGCTTTCGACGCCGAGGACGACGACGACGAAGAGGAAGAGGAGGCTGACGACGACGCGGGCCGCTCCGCGCCAGTTGCCGCATCGATGGTGCTGCCAAGATCACTCCGGCTTGCCGTGCCGTTGCCGTTGCCGCTGGCCCCGCCCTCGCCGCGGACGTCGCCGCTGCGAGTTGAGTTGCGCGAGCTGGTCGGACTCATGTCGGCAAACTTCTGGCTCTCGTAGATCTCGTGCATGTAGCGCAGCGCCTGCGTGTTGACGGCCGCCGTGACGTCCGACTCGTGCGCGGTGCCGATCTGTCCGATGTCGGTACCGTTGCCGGAGGCCAAGTAGAGGCAGAGGGTCAGCAGCAGGTTCGTGGGCGATGGGTGTTTCGGTTCGACGACGAGGGGCAGGGACTGTTCTGCTCGACAGCGAAAGTCACTCACCCAGTACGCTCCGCCGTGCAGGTGGAACATGACCTTTTCTCCGGGCGCCGCCTTTTGGCCGACGCCGCCGTCGCCCGACTCGCCGTACCAGAAGCCGCAGGTGCGGAGCGCCTTGATCTTCTGGATCTTCATGGCGCGCTCCAGCTCGCCGCTTATGTATTCGTCGGCCAACTCGTCGACCCAGACAAACTTGCTCTTGACCGTCTTGGAATGGGGCACCTCCTTGGTCAGGTCGCGGCCGAGGTTGGTGTGCGTACGGAAGGTGAGCTTGGTGCCGTGGCGGAAGAGCTTGACCATCGTCGCCCGCTTCCACGACCAGTCCTTGCGACCGCGCTTCGACTTGACGGCGCTGGTGAGGGACCACGCCGGGAGGTGGTAGAGGCCCACCGAGAGGCCAAAGTAGGCATAGTAGAGGTACTTGTACGGCTGCTTGGCCCACACGGGATGTGCCTGGTCAAACTCGGAGTCCTTGCCGCTGCCCTGCAGCGGAAAGTCCTTGATGGGGATCTGGAATTGGGGCAGCGTCAGCTTCTGCGTGATGGCTTCCGGCAGCTGGAGGTTGGGCAGCTTTGATGCCAGCAGCGAGTTGCGCTTTGCGCCTGGGCTGAGGTCGCGCGCCCGCTGCTCACTCGGTGTGTCCTCAGAGGCCGCCTTGGTCCTGGCTCGCCCGCGGTCGTCGGCCTCCTGTGAGGCCATCCGGTCGAGCTTCTCTGGGGCCTCCTTGGCCTTTTGCAGGCCTGCCACCTGCGCCTCGTCCATGCTCTGGACGTTCCGTCTCTGCTTTTCTTTGAGCTCTCGCATGTTTTCGACGCTAGCGCGGCGCTCATCCTCCGAGGGGTACTCTTCCTCGTCGCTGTCCAGGGCGACGTTGCCCGTGGCCGGCCCTATCTCTGTGGCGCGAAGCTTCCTGCCGGCGTGGACCGCCGTTTTGGGCCGGGACCTCTCTTTCCCCTTGCCCTTATCCTGGGGCGTGGAAGAGGGGGACGATGGCCTCGACGACGGAGAGAAGAGCTTGGACAGCCTCGTCATCTTGGAAGACGTCGACGACTTGCCCGCCTTGCGCGACTTGTTGCTGGAAGAGCTCTGGCCGCTCTGTGCCGCTCGCGAGGCTGCTTCGTCGCCGCTGCTCCCGCTCGACGAACCGGGCACTTCGCCCAGCACCGAGTCGTCATCACTGTCGGACGCCAGTGCCGCAGTGCGAGAGGTCGAGGTGAAGACGCCTTTTTCCCGCTTTGGTGCCGGGGCGACGTTGCCGTTTGCGGCCGAGTAGGACTTGAAGGCGCTCGACGCCTGCAGTGCCTCGCGGGGCCTGGTTCGGGGCGACTCGGTCTCGGTCGAGGTAGAAGAGGGTGCCATGTCGGGTCGACCGGTCGGCGATGACGGCTGAGGCGGTGCTGCTGTACGGACGGGCTCGTGTAGCGTGTTGTCTAAGTGCAAGTCTGTCGATATGGAGCTGGAGATTCAGCTGGAGCTGGAGCCCGTAATGCGGTGCGCTGCCTCTGGCGCAGGCGGGTCTAGGTTTGAAGCTGATCGTCAACGATGCTCTGGGAGGAAAAGCTCTCGACTATCTATGTGCGATGTCGAGGTGGAAAAGGCGCGCTCGAGAGGCTGTGCTGGGTGTCACCACACGCCACGACCGTCGGGCCCCGCTAGCGCAGTCGTGTGAAGACAAGGCCGGCCGCCGAAGGACGAGGGGCGGGCTGGGGTCCGGAGGTGCTGCCTGCCGGAGATACGGAGCGTTGATCGTCTGTCGGGTGGGGGCGTGAAAGTTCGAAGAGAGGGGTGGGCTGGAGCGCGAATAGATGCGGGTGAGCGGCGGCCTGAGCGTCGAGATCCAAGCGGTGCGGGGTCACGTCATGGGCCTTTGGACGGCTATCGTTATGAGGAGATGGAGCCGGCGTCGCCGAGGAGCCAGGTGTGAGGACAGTCGAAGCTGGTGGTGGCGAGCTGAGAGGGAAAGAGAGAAAGAGAGAAAGAGAGAAAGAGAGAGGGAGACAAGATGTGGTAGGTAGATGAAGGTACGAGCCAGACCGAAGGTGGCCCCACGTTGGACGTCGTCGGAGGGGAGGGATCGAGGCAGCCCTCGTCGAGGCTGGGGCAGGCTAGCCAGCAGGCAAAGGTGAGGGTGGGGTGATTTCTGGGCGCAGGCCGGCAGTCAGCCCCCCGCCCGGCTGTCGAGCGCCTGGCCGTTTCAAATTCCGCGTGGCTTCCGCTGGCCGGCCAACTTGAACTTGGCCCTCGATCTCGCCACACCGCCCCTCCGGAGTGCCTGGGCCAAGCGGTCTCCTTTGGCTGGCAAAGGCGAGACACAACGACGCCCATACACACGTACGATGCTACCGGTCGGCGACGCAGCCGCTACCATCTCACCATCGGAAAGCAGGCGTGTGTACGACGGGCAGGCGGGGGGCCCTCGAAGCGAGGCGAGGCGAGGCAGCTGGGCATCCAGCCAGGGTCCTCCTCGCATGCATGCAGGTTGACGTACGACGAGCGGATAGAGCTGCTGGAAGGACGAGCGGGGCTGGCGCGCCTCGTCCCGACCACCTACGGCATCATTCGATTTCGTGGGAGGCGACGACGACGACGACGACGACGACGACGACGACCACTCCGGCAGCAAGGCGATGCCACGGACGGTCGCAAGGTCAGGATCGATCAGGATCGGTCGGCACGATGGACGCTCGTCTGGACAGACATCAGGTAAGCTCGGCGGCGGCCAGCAGGCCAGGGATGCCGACGGCACGCCGGCAGGCTTCCGACCCGGCAGGCGGCAGCGTCCAGTCGCGATGCCGATGCCGAACTGCCCCCCTGACCGCCTGTTCCTTCGGCTACGACAACGACCGGCGCGACGAGAGGTTCTTGAGGCTCCGCCGCTGGTAGCAGAGCTGGTAGGCGCGCGCGCTCAGAACATCCGACACCTTGGCCGGCGTCACCTTGTCGTCGTCAAAGCGGTACCACTGCGATCCCCCCACCCGGCAGCACGCGACGGCAGCCGACGCTCTCTGGAGTCAGTCGATGACCACAACGCCCGCGCACCTGCCCCAGACGGAACCGCTCGCACGCACCTGGTCACGCCACTTTGAGAAGTTGGTGTAGTGCCCCGTGTTCATCGAACCGACGTGCACCACGACCGTGAACAGGTCGTAAAGGTACGCTCTGGCGTCGGGCAGGCAGACGAGGGCGGCGAGCGCGGCCGTATAGGGTCAGCAGCCTTGTCCTCCGAGCGTGCCGTGCTCCACGCCGGCGGAGCTCGCACAGCCACTCACTCTGGATCCGGATTGAGGCGTGCCGTTTCCCCTCGGACGACTGCAGTGGAAAACTGTCGAACGTCGAGCACGAGCGGGAAGGTCACTCTCGTGTCGATCTTGGTCGCCGCAGAGGTATGCTCGAAGCGCTGTACCCGGCCGCCGCCAAAGGAGCCGGAGGCAAAGCAAAGATCAGAGTCAGTGCGACGGCTCCTGCGGGCCGCTGCGACTGCGCCGACCTCTCACCTTCAGCTGGATACAGAGGACGGGGGGCAGACGGAAGAGGCTGAGCTGCTTGGTGGCCGAGGCCATCCCGCCGCACGAGCTGCATGTGTAATCGTCGTTGCCCAGCCTCTCTGTGCAGCAGTACCTGCGATTGGCGAGTCGTCATGAGGGGATGATGGTCGGCGGCGAGGGGCAGAGACGGTCAGTCGGCCACGCCGCCATCGCCACCCGACTGGGAGCAGATCGGGCGTCCGCTCCTCCAACCCTCGCCGCGACTCACCTCTGCAGGCAGACGGTGAGGTGCTGCTCCTCTTCGGTGCCCTCACGCTCGGCCGCACCCTTCTTGTCCTGCGGGCCGGCCTTCTTGTTCTTGCCGTTCTTCTTGGCCGCTGCATCGGCGCCGGGGTCGAGGGCGCCGTCGCGCTTCCGCATCGAGTCTGGCCGCACGTCGAGGCTGAGGTCGAGCATGGGGTCCCGCGTCGTGTTGACCTTGCCGCAGCGCTGGCAGGTGACGTCGCTCTGGAGCTGGCCGGAAAACGTGCGGTGCACCACGCACGGGCACGAGACGATGCCGCGCAGCGCGCCCGACGGCGTGCCCGCCTCGGAGCTCGAGCCGGATCCGGATCCGGAGCCCTCGTAGTGGTCAAAGAGCAGGCTGCACGCGTTCTCGTCGTCGTAGGGAAACGCCGGCAGCAGCGAGCGCTCGAGCGAGCGCGACGTGAGGGCGCCGTGGACGCCGTTGAGCGCGCTGATGAAGAGCTCGTGGGCGTCGTGCTGGCCGGCCTGCGACAGCTCGCCCGAGTTCTGGTCGAGCCACATGCAGTAGAGGAACGACGTCGGGCCGTGCGGGCCTTTGTCGGGCGAGCTCGAGTAGAACTCGGAAAAGATCTTGTCCATCTCGCAGGCGAGGCAGGCGCGCGAGTTGGTGCACAGCGCCGGATTGTGGCGGTCGCTGAGGAAGAAGTTGCGCAGCAGCGGGTTGTGCAGAAAGGCCTGGATGATGACGTTCATGAAGCACGTCGCGCCCATGTTGCGCAGGCCTCGAGGGTTGCGGCAGGCCATGCCGTTCGAGGCATCCGGGAGCGGCAGGTTGTCTGAAGGGCGGGCGCGGGGAGATCAGGCCGTCCGGCGTCAATAGCCACCTCCGAGAGGCTTGCCACGTCCGCGGACCGCCATTCGCAGGCCGACTCACCCAAGCTTGCGAGGTAGGGCCCATGGGATCGCGCCCGGGCCTTGTCGGCGGATCGACCCCTCTCTCGTGCCAAGACGGCTTCAAAGGTCGGGTCAAAGACGACGTCGTTGCAATCGACGCAGAAGAGCGTGCCACGCAGCAGATCAAAGGCTGAGGAGGCGACCGCCAAGGAATACGGCGGATATTGTCAGCGACTCGATGCCAGGACGTTGGCGTCGCCAAGCCGGAGGATTCAGCAAGGCTCGCCACCGGACGGCCGCGCGAGCGCTCACCAAACGAGTGCGACTGGGCGCGCAGATGCTGCACGATGTGGGGCTTGGCGCTGCCTTCGTGCTGCTGCGGCAGGAAGCAGCCCGTGTAGGCGCAGTCGAGGCAGATGAATGGGCGGTGCAGCTCGGTCTCGCACGTGCCGCAGGTCGGGTAGTCGAGCTTCCTGCGCTTCCCACTGCGGTCGGTGGCCTCTTTGGCCGGCTGCGAGGCGGCCTCGTCGATGACCTTGACCTCGCCCGCGCGGATCCTGCCGCCCCATCGGAGGCCGGCGATGTACCTCTTGAGCGCGCGCCTGGCCTCCTGCGACAGGTGGCTGCTGCCCTCGGCACCCATTCCGCCGCTACCATCGGCTGCATCGCCGTCCAACTGCTCGGTCTTGACCTGGTGCGTGCCCAGCGCAGCACCGGGGTCGACGTCGGCGGATGAGGAAGACGAGGTGGTCAAGAAGGACGAGCCCAGCTTCAAGGATCGTGCGAGGTGCGGGCAGCCGGCGGGGACGTGCCGATCCAGCGTGGCGAGAGGCGGCGGCACAGCCGATGCCGCGCTGGCTACCGGCGTCGTCCCGCTGCCCTTCGGACCGGTCCGAGACGGGGTCCCTGGTCGAGATGACGAGGTGGGCGTAGCTCGCGAGGGCGTGCGGCGCCCATCGGCCGTCCCGTTCTTCGTCGGGGACACGGATCGATCCGCCATGATGCCGGACGGGTGCGATGAGGATGCTGAGAAGGTTGCAACGCAGGCAGGCCGGCTAGGTCGAGGCGGAGGAGCGTTGTGGGCGACGGGCAAGGGCAGAGACACGGGCGACTCGGTGGTCGAGGGTACGCCTGAAGTCGTTGAGCAGAGGTCGGGAAACGGGCTCGCGCCGAGTCGGGCTGCCCTTGGCTCCGGGTGGAGGCCTTGCCTGCCAGCTGAGGCCGGCAGGGCTGGCGGCGGAACAAGCCTGGCTGCCCGGCCCTCGGAACCGGAGTGGGCTGCTGCCTCGGTGCACGAGCCACAGAAGTGGCCCCCTTCCTGACTTTTCGTCTCTGGCGCGGGGCCAGGGAGTCGCTGCACCCCTCCACCGAGCTGGTGGTCAAAAAGCCATCCTTCTCAACGCTCCCTCCTTCCTTCCCTTCCATCACCAGCCACCCATCCTCTCCGCTCTCGGTCCTCCACCCTCCAGTCTCCAGTCTCACCCTTTCCCCTTCCCCCGCGCCTGCCCTCTCGACCCTCCCTCGCCTCTCGACACCCCTTCGGCAGCCCAACGGCCCACCCTCTGACAGACAGACAGTGAGTACTCGCCAGGATGACGGGGTCCAGGTGGCATGACCTCAGATTGCCCGGTTTGGCATGCCGAACAAATATGCTATACCACATGAACCGACAAAAGTAGACGGCACCATGTGGGAGGAGGCATGATCCTCAGATTGCCCGGTCTGGCACGCCGAACCCGTTGCTGCCCGAACACGCCTGACGAAATAAGACTCTTCCTTGCTTCTCTCCATTTCCCTCGCAGGCCCTCTCCCTTCCCTACCCTCTTTCCGCACAGTTGTCGGCATTCGCTCGTCTTCGGGCGAGGACGTATTTCGCCCAGCTCTCGCGCTGCATCCGCTGTGCTGTCTAGAGCGAGTAGGTAGACTGTATCCTGTAGATTCACCATGGACGACGAGGGAATCAAGGATGATGCGACCGAAAAGACAGCCGGTCGACGTCGATCGAGCGTGTGATGCCTGGCCCCGGAACGAGAGGAGCTACGACCAGGAGATCGCAGTCGCTCGTCCTGACCCTCATCGATGCGAGCTCTGGACTGGCGTCTTTCACAAGCGATGGAGGCCAATGTCGAAGGACCACGACGAGGGCGCCCGGCAGCCGGCCATCATCACGACCAGCTCATCGACGAGCATTCGCTCCGCAAGGCATCGTCCGCGGGCGAGTCCGACCGGGCAGCACGGGTTCGCCGGCCGCCAGGGCCTGGTGGTGCAAGCTGCCGCATCCGCGCCCATCGACGGCCCTTTCAGCGGTCGTCCCTTTGCATCGACAGACTCATACCCGCCCGCCAGTGCACCGGCAGCCCTCGTGGTCGATTTCGGGCACGCCTGGATCGATGGCGTGGCGGAGGAAGCCAGGCAGAGGAAGCGCATGGAGAGCCTGGAGACGACCTCGTTCTCTCCCCTCATGAACTCGTTCTCTTCCCCCCCCAGGGAGACGACCTCTGCCATGCCGTGCCGTACCGTGCGGTGCGGTGCGATGCGGTGCATCTAGACAGCACCAGAGAGACCGAGTGCCGGCGAGTAGGTTGAGAAGCACCGACAGGCTGTCCCTCGAGGGCTAGGCTGGGCCTTGGACTGTGCGCGCGCTACTCGGCCACGGTCTTGTCCGTCCTCAAAGCCTTTTGGTGATAGGCTCACCTAGTCACCGGTAGCTCACTTTGCGTTGCCGGTGGCGGTGCAGGAGGCGGGGCGTGGCATCGAACCATGTGGGCATGCACCACCAAGGCGCAATCTGATAACGGCCGTCAACGACAGAGACGAAGCAAGCAAGCTAGATTGGTGGGCGTACGCCTTTCGAGCTTGTCGTTTGCTTTTGCCTCAAGCTCGTAGTCTTGCTTGGATGATGTGGTCGAGGTTGAAGAGTCAACCTAGGGTCGATGTGGACGAGCGACAAGTCCGGATCCGAGCGAGCCGTTCACGGGCTCGTCCGATTCCGATCCCGAAGTCTCCGTTCGGACCGAACCGAACCTGCAGAGCGTGTAGAACGTGTCCGCCTGTATCCGTCGATAGCCTCGCCGAACGTGCCCGTCTCTTTTGCCACCCTCGACCCCCCGATCCAGGTACTGATGGCAAGGAGGAGGAGGCCAGGCAGGAGTGACAAACGACCGTGACCCCTCCATCTCGCCCCGTCTTCGGGTCTGCCATGTGGCAAAACAAGTGCTTTGCTTAGGCGAGGCGGCGACGGCGGCAACGGATGCACGGCAAGGCAAGGCAGGAACTCTGCATGCCGTCCACAGGTAGGACAACCTCGAGGCACGACAAATTTTCGCGTCCTTCCTCCGCTCCCGACAGAGGACCAGGTCTGCGTGACGATATCGCAGGCCGCATCTTGGCTTCCTGACCTGCTTTGGTCCAGCAGAGCAGGCGAGGCTGAGCGGGGATGAACGTGTCGCAAGCGAGATCAGATACCGAGCACGATAGCGAGCAGGCGAGCCAAGTCATCCTCCTAACGCCGCCGAACAAGTAGCCGCCGGCTTTGGCGGTGTGCCTGAGCGGCGGCAGAGCCATGGCATGCCACTCGCTCCTTACACTTAGCTCGCTGTTGTACATCCCGGTACGTGGGCTGGAGCCGGGATGTTCGTTCGGACACTTGTTGTGCGATGCTGCCAGCGTCGACGGTGCCAGACGAGACTACTCCCATCGATGATCCGTCCGAGGCAAGGCCGGGGCGTATACTGGCCCTTGCTAAGCCAGCCTTGCTCCACCGCGGAGAGTGCGGGGAGAAGGAAGAGAGAGGCACGGAAGGGGACGCTTCGACCGCTTTCAGCATCTTTCGCGAGCTCCGCTCCTCCGTGGATCGGCTTTTGCCTGCCGGGCCGGAAAGGCTGGCCCGTGTATCGGCAATCGAGCCTGGCTGATCCCTCGCCGTCGTGGCTACGGTGGCCATCATCCTACGTAGTCGTCGCCCTTGCCGTCAAGGCCTACCAGCAGGAAATGGCGGGCTACGTCGTCATCGGGCCGTGGGGTTCATGGGCGCCGATGAGAGACCAAGCTAGTCTCGGAGATGTCCTGTATCGATTCGGCCCTATTGTTCGCGGCGTCCAAGGTTCCAAGGGGGGCCGCCGGGCTTTGGCTTGGCCTGGCTTGGCCTGGCTTGGCCTCGACGGCACCTAGCCCGTCCCCCGATGAGTGTCGATCTTGAGAGAAAGCCGGACATCGGCCCACCTCGACGACGCCCCGCGACCTCCTACAGCGAGAGGCTGTATGTAGGGTCTGCTTGAGTCTCTGGTGGCAAGAATCATCATCGTTTGGCTCTGTAGTGCGACCGGCGACTGTAAGCTGGAGGCTTCCCGGCGGTCGGTGGCGTCGTACGTAGGTAAGGGCGCTGCGCGCTAGGCCTTGCCTGCTTGCGCCCCGAGGGCCTTGCTTATCGTGGCGGCAAAGATGAACTTGCTTGCACGGCCCGCAAAGGTCGCTGCGCAGGCCGAATCCGGGCATTCGGCATCTGCCTCTCGAGGTTGGCGGCCTCGAGCCCGATGGACAGCCGTCCGTGCCCCTTGCGTTTATCCGACGTGTCGACTTCGCTGTTGCTTCGGTCCGATGTGCGGTGTGAGCGCAGCCTGTCTTGGGCGGCCCCGGGTCTGGGCGTCTCGCGAGACGGGACAGGATGCACCTTGGGTCTCGCTTGCAGCATCGTGCCAGCTAGGAACGGACGGGCGGGCGGGCGAATATCAAATCGGGTGGCTCAGCGCCGAAGAGATGACGACGAGCGACGACGACGGCGGCGGCGTCGATGGCGGTAGCGAAGGCTATCGGTACGGCCTCAGGAGCACCAAAACAGGGGCTTCTTTCGATGGCTGGCCGGTGAGCGACCAGCAGATACGTGGCTAGCAACCTTACCTGCCTGAAACGGGCCGACGAGCGGAAACAAAAAGGTCCAGAGCGAAGGGAGACGTACGATGCCTGACCTGCCGTGATCCGGCATCAAGGTCTTGGTTGTCCGGACGTCACCGCCCAAGCTCCGTCGCCGTCGACGTCGCCGTCGCCGCTGCCGCTGCCCGTCGCTTGTCGTCTCGGGAGAAGAGGGCCGATAAGAAGCGGGAGCCGCCGTCGGAGTTGAGGTAAAAGAGGCCGTTGGGGGTGCCAGGCCGGGGCGACGGCGGCGGCGGCGGCCAGAGCAACTCAGCCTCACCCTGACGAAGGAACCGGACGCGGCATCGGCGTGGGAAGAAGCGGGGCGGGGCGGGGCCGTTAGCCTGCTTGCCTGCCTGCCTGCCTGCTTGGGCCTTGTCGAGCGGAACAAGGGGCGAGCGAGCGGCGACGGCGACGGCGGCGGCGCCGCAATTAATGAAGATGCCGAAGGCGCTCCAGGGAGGCGAAGGCTGCGCGCCCTACCTGCCGATGGAAGGACGTAACAAAGAGATGGCAGGCGGGCTAGGTGATGGCCAGGCAGGCTGGCTGGCGGGCTGGCAGGAACGGGTGCCTAGGCTAGGGCATCGACGTGCCGGTGGCCCCCTGACGTGCCCTTGGTCGCTCCCCTCTGGCCAGGAATTTGAAAAGTTTCCGGGCAAAGAGGGCCGAGGATGGGGGCAAGACGGAAGCCTCGAAGAAGAGGGAGGGAGCGGGGGGGAGGAGGAGAGGGGCTGCGAAGAGAGGCAAGCAGAGGAACGCAGCAGGCGGCGAAGCAGACTTAGAGCCATGCAGCTCCGGCGGCGGCCAACGTCGAGCGACAGGCAGGCTAGGAACCAACCAAGGCGGCACGGCACAGCAGCAGCAGCTTGCTGTGTCTCTGCACCGCCCACGGCCCGTCGCTTGCTTTGGCTTGCTTGGTTGCTTGCTTGGTTGCTTGCTTGGCTGCGCTGCGCTGCCAGGCCCGCGCCCTGGCCCCTCGGCAAATTTCGTCAGCGGGGCGGGGGCATGGAAGGCAGGCAAGCAGGCAAGCAGGCAAGCAGGCAAGCAGGCAAGCAGGCAGGCAGGCAGGCCGGGGCCAGCCAAGAAGGGGACAGGCTAGGCCGGCCGGAATTGGGGGCTGGGCAGCGCGAGAGCGAGAGTCAACAACGGCCACAGACCGCCCGGCGCCCGGCCAGGCAAGCCAGGCAGCTTGGGCAGGTCGACCGAGGTGCCGCTGCGCTGCTGCGCCTGGCGCGAATTCGGGCTGCCCCGCTCGCCCGCCCGCCCGCTGAGAGGCTGTCCGGTCTGCCTGCCTGGGCCTCGTCCCTGACCCTTCCTTGCCTTGCCTGGTTGCTTGCCTGGCTGCCCGCCTGCCTCGCCTTGTCTGGCCCCTAGTTGAGGCCTGACCCTGGACGGCGGTCGGCGTGACCGCCACTGGAGGGCCGCCGCCTTCGGGCGTCTTTCGTCGTCGTCGTCGTCACCGCAACCACCACCACCACCACCGCCCTCCCTTCGCCATCCCCTGAGCCTGTGGTAAGTTATCAGACAGCTGTTCATCCAACGCTTCTCGAGGGCGCCCTGGGGCGGCACCACCGCATCGCAGTCGCCTCGTCCATCTCGGTCGCCCTCCGCCCAGCCCTCGGCCACCGGTTTCCCGGTTCCCAGCCAGATCATCGGCGATGCGATGCTAGCGTGGACGAGTGGTCCCTCGCACCGACTTCTTCCTTGCGGAACGAGGGGCGATGTCGACATGCCACCGTCTTCGTCGACACGCGGATGCCCGGCCTCTTGCTCCTTCGGTCATGGGCTTAGCATCAGCGGCCGGCTCGGCCATCACCGTGGTCAGCCACCGCGCCCATACGGCGGTTCGCCTGATGAGGCCTTGCCGACGCACCAGCCTATCACCGACCTTCCGTCGGCCGCTCGCTGCTCCTCGTCGCTCTATGCGCGAGCATCTCCTGCCCAGCACAATCGCACGAAGCTGACATCTTGCCCATCGCACCTTTCCTCCCTGGTCACCGACGCCACGTTTCCCCTCGCTCCTCTTCCTCCCGATGCAGCCTAGTCCGCTTGAGTCTTTACTCGCGAAACAGCCAGCTCTTTCACCGCCCTCCGCCCTCCAGCCCTCCGCCTTCAGCCTCAGCTTGAATCCCAATCTTTCTCGCCCTACGAAGCCTGAATCGCTGCACCGCCATCCAGACTCTTGTCTCCTGTCCCAGCCTCGACTCTGTGGTCACTCCCCGCGCGCCCCTCGGTCGCTGCATTCAAAGGAGTCTCCGCCGTCCGTCGTCGTTTCGCACGCCTTCAGCTTCCGATCCATCCCCGCCCTCTCATCATCCATCGCCTGCCGCCTCTGTCTCCCATCCTCGACCGAAGCCCAGGCAACACTGCACACCGACCCTGCCGATCGCGCCTCGTTCCTCGTCAAAGCTCTTCATCCTCTCGATTCAGGAACCTCTCGACCGCTTGAGATCCCATCTCGCGTCCACCCACGCCATCTTTCCGACCCCGCATCCTTCGCCCGTCAGACGCAACCTCACCTTCCCAAATCCTCTCACTCATCCTTTCCGGGCCCAGTCTCCGCCTCGCCTTCGCCCGCCTCGCTGTCGCTCAGAGCGACGATCCTCTGAACTCGGGCGCACAACATGGCTGCGCCTTACTTCCAGATGCCCCTCAATTTCAATGCGGATGCGCTCGCTCTGCCCTCGGACCAACTGCACCTCGGCCTCCAGTCCTCGCCTCCTTCGAGCAACTCGTACATCGGCTCGCCCGCCAACGTCGGCAATTTGTCTCATCCCTCGTCCATGGCAGGCGCTCAGCCGCAGCCGCAGTCGCAGCCGCCGCGCACCGTGTCCGGCGGCGGCAGCGGCGGAGGCAACCGCAAGGGGACGAGCGCCGAGAGGCGCGCCACCCACAATGCCATCGAGCGTGCCCGTCGCGAGTCGCTCAACGGGCGGTTCCTGCAGCTGGCCGCCTCGCTGCCGGCCATCGCCGACGTGCGCCGCCCGAGCAAGTCGCTGATCGTCAACAAGTCGCTCGACTTTGTCCACACGTCGCTCAGCCACGAGGCGCTGTACCGCAAGCGCCTCGACAGCCTGCGCAGCGAGAACGAGGCGCTGCGCGAGCAGCTCAACGAGTTCCGCAAGCAGGCCGGCCTCGATCCCCTGCCGGCGCCCGTCGTCGACGAGCTGCCGCTCCCGCTGTCCGAGATGGGCGACAAGAAGCGCAGCGGAAGCCTCTCCGGCAACGCAGCCGGCGCCGGTGATCTCGGCGAGTACGACGACGACGATGGCCTCAATGCCGGCTCGAGCGAGGGCGAAGCGAGCCGCACCAGCCCCGTCGTGGCAGCCTCTTCGAACCCTGGCGCCAACGGACACGGTCTGCCCTCTGGCTTGACCGGCTTCGATCATCTGCAAGCCGCCCAGCTCGGCCAGCACCAGCAGCACTCGAACCCGATGGCCCTCGCCACCGGTCTGCCCGGGCAGGGCCGTGCCTCGTCGACTGCATCGACCCACTCGGAAGAGGTCGGCGCGGCCGCGCAGGGGAGCTGGAACTACGCCTCGTCCTCCAACGGGCTCGGCGTGACGCCCTCGAGCTCCAACTTTGGCGGCGACTTTACCTTCGCCGCCACTTCGAACCTGCTTAACGGCGGCGGCGGCAGCAGCAGCAACGCTGCTGGTGGCCAGCTGTCGGCTCCAGGCTTCCCGCACTTTGCCGGGCTGAGCCAGTCTTCCGGGTCGCACGACGCGTCAACCTCCATCGATCCGCTCGTGCAGCCCTCGTCGGCCCCCCTGGACACGTACAGTGCGCTCCGAGGCCCGCAGCAGACGTATGGCCAGTACATGGCCGCGTTTGATCACGGGCACTCTGGCGGCCAGTCGCAGCACCCGTTCCTCCAGCACCAGCACCAGCAGCAGCACAATCTCCACCACCATAACCTCAACCAGCAGCAGCATTTTTTTGATCCATCGCCGCGGCAGCCAACGGCGACGTTCCTGACCACTGCCGTCTGAGCGGCGGTGGTTGCCTGTCGTCGCCGTCGCCGCTCGACGAGGCTGCTCAATCGGTCCGCCTCCTTTCTCGCTTCTTCGACCGGTTGACCTTGCCCCGTTGCCGGCCTCGGTGAGGTTGGACGAGCCTGCAGTTGGCGCATGCCTACCTGTTTCCAACCCATTCGCTGCCCGCTGCCCGACTGCTACCTGCTCGTCCGGCCGTTCTCCTCTCCGCTTCGTATTTCACCCCCTCCTTCCCCCCCTATCCGCCTGTCTTGGCCGTCGCTCGTGTATATATCCCCCCTTTTCGTCTCGCCCGCGCTTTCCCGCACCTCGTCGCTGTCAGCAAGCAAAGCAGTCAGTCTGTACCACATGGCGCCTCTCAGCCTACCGCCCTCTTCCCCCTCTCCCTCTCCTTGGCTCTCGCCCTCTCTCTCTCTCCCCCGCTTGTCTTCCTCCCCCCCGTTTCCTTCGCAAGTCCTATTCATTTTTTGTCGCTCGCCTCTCTCTCGACGTCTCCCTTGTACTTGCTGTGCCGGCCACTGCGCCGCCAGGGCTCCGGAGCCCTGTGAATCCCACACTCTTTCTCCCTCTTCTCCTGCGTGTGCGGGGCACGACCAGGACGCTGTGGGGCCAAGGGTGGATGGGGGCGGCATCTCTTGGTTTGAAAGCCGACGCCAGCATGGCCAGGCTGAGCGAAGCAGAGCGGATGCTTGACGTGGCCGCTGCTTTGGCCTTGCCTGCCGTGCCGGCAATTTCGCAGGCCCGTCGGACGCGGAAGACGGGCAGGGGAAGGCCGCGGCCAGGGGGCAGGGGGGGCAAAAAATTTGGGGAATAATTTCTTCGCGGGCGGGTGGCTACCCGCCGCTGTGGCTGTTGCTGCGCTGGCTCCGACCGGTTCCTTCGCTCTGACCACCAGGCTCGCGTCCATCGCACCACCAACCCACCCTTTTACACACATACCCGCACACTCCCTCTCGTCTCCGACACGACTGCACATCATGTCGGCCAGCATGGAACGCAGGGCCGAGGACAAGACGAAGTCGAAGCACAAGAAGGAGAAGAAGGCCAAGCGCGAGTCGCTCGCCGCCGCCGACGACGCCACCGAGAGCGGCACCAACACCCCCACGCCCCTTGCCACCGAGGCTGCTGCCGCCGCCGCTCTGGGCGACAAGCAGAGCAAGAAGGACAAGAAGAAGGCCAAGAAGCGCGCCGCCGAGGAGCAGTCCGGAGACACCGAGGCGGCCCCCGCTGCGGCAGAGGAGGGAGGTGCCTCTGAGCCTTCGGCAAAGAAGGCCAAGGTCGACGGCGGTGACAACGACGACAAGGAGGCAAAGAAGAAGCGGAAGGAGGAGAAGAAGGCCAAGAAGGCCGCCGCTGCGGCTGCTCCGGCGGCTGCTCCGGCTGCCAATGGCGGGCCGAGCGCAGCGGCCAGCTTTGCGCCCACCGACCCGGCCGCTGCGCGTGCCTTCATGGAGAAGAATGCCATCACGCTCGAGGCGCCCGAGGAGTCGGACGAGAGGCCGCCGCTGCCCATGATCCACTTCAACGAGCTCGCCGGCAAGGTCGACGAGGCGGTGAGGAAGACGCTCGACGCCCAGGGCTTCACCAGCCCGACGCCGATCCAGGCGTGCTGCTGGCCCGTGCTGCTGCAGAACAAGGACGTCGTCGGCGTCGCAGAGACGGGTTCCGGCAAGACGTTTGCCTTTGGCCTGCCCGCGCTCCAGCACCTGGTGACGCGCCACAATGTGCTCAAGGACGCCGGCAAAAAGTCCAAGAAGGCCGGCGCCAACATCAACGTGCTCGTCGTTGCCCCGACGCGCGAGCTGGCCATCCAGACCGAGGAGAACCTGGCCAAGCTGGGCAAGTCGATGGGCGTCGGCTCCATCTGCCTGTACGGCGGCGTGTCCAAGTCGGCGCAGCTCGACTCGCTGCGCCAGTCGCCGCCGATCCGCATCGTCGTCGGCACGCCCGGACGGGTGCTCGACCTGGCGCGCGACGGCGGCATCGACCTGAGCAACGTCACCTACCTCGTCCTCGACGAGGCGGACCGGATGCTCGACAAGGGCTTTGAGCCCGACATCCGCGCCATCATTGGCATGTGCCAGTCGCGCGAGGCGGGCCGGCACACGAGCATGTTTAGCGCCACCTGGCCTCCGGCGGTGCGCGGGCTGGCCGAGACGTTTATGAACGCGCCCATCCGCGTCACGGTGGGCAGCGACGAGCTGAGCGCCAACAAGCGGGTCGAGCAGACGGTCGAGGTGCTCGACGACGGGCGCGCAAAGGAGCGGCGGCTGGACCAGTTCCTGCGCAGCATCGGCGCCGGGCGGGGCGGCAAGAATGCCAAGGACAAGATCCTCATCTTTGCGCTGTACAAGAAGGAGGCGCAGCGGGTGGAGAACACGCTGCGGAGGTCCGGGTACGCCGTGTCGGGCATCCACGGCGACCTGGGGCAGCACGACCGGATCGCCAACCTGGAAAAGTTCAAGACGGCCGAGACGCCGCTGCTGGTGGCGACCGACGTGGCGGCGCGCGGCCTCGACATCCCCAACGTCGAGTACGTCGTCAACCTGACGTTCCCGCTGACGATTGAGGACTACGTGCACCGCATCGGGCGGACGGGCCGCGGTGGCAAGACGGGCAAGTCGCTCACCTTTTTCACCGACGAGGACAAGCCGCACGCGGGCGAGCTGATCCGCGTGCTCAAGGACGCCGGGCAGGCGGTGCCCGAGGCGCTGACGCGCTTCCCGACGACGATCAAGAAGAAGACGCACTCGAGCTACGGCGACCACTTCAAGGAGCTCGTGCCGGGCAAGGCCAAGAAGATTACCTTTGACGACTGACGTGGCCGGCCCGCGTTCCTTCTGCCTGTACATACACGCATGCGTACCCCGCGAGTGCAACCTGCTTCCTCCTCGTACTCTTGCTTGCTTAGCTTGCTATCGACGGGTCCAGATGCGCGGGCCTCACCGTCGGTCTCGACCGTTGATTGCGCCCGACGTGGCGTAGGCGGGATCAGGGAGGGTCAAGTTGGTGGCGAAGGGCAGATGGCCTGGGCGTGATGTCGCGGAAATTGGGCGCAGCAAGCCGGCCGGCTGGCGTGACTGCACTTACTCTCTAGTGGCCGAGGACGAGGCCGCTGCCGAGACAGCGAGCATTTGCCCTCGACCCCTAGCGCTTGGTCTGGCGTCTTGCCCTCTTGCCCTCGACCCGCAGCCGCAGGCGGTACCTCCCGATCCTGTTTGATCAGAGCTAGGCAGGCAAGAGGACGGCAAGCTGTCCCGTTATCGGATAGCAGCCGGCCAACGGGGGAAGCGGGGAGCGGGGAGCGCGGGCGGTCCAATCATGGCTCGAGGGGGCCAGCGGGCCAAGCCGACCAAGCGCGTTGGCCGGGGATTGGGCCGGCTGTTCTGCAGGCCAGGGTCGGTCGAGTCAGTCGAGGGACGAAAAAGCGGCCGGCCTGGCTGGCGGGGGGTGTTTTTGTATTGCCAGCATCTCAAACCGGGCGACGGGGTTGTATTCCAGTCCTCCTGCGCTTTGGATGCAGATTCAAATCTCCACCCAAGATGGCGTCAAAATTGGCGGGCCCGATCTGGGCTCTAAGCAGCGGCGGCGGCAGCGGTCGAGCGGAGTGGCAAGCCAAGAGGCGGCGGGCGAGCCAGCTTGCTTGCGCTTCAAGGCCCACGGGCCCCAGGCGCACCCGCACCCGCACCCGCACACCTCGCCTACCCTCGGAGCCTTGCGTCGTCGTCGTCTTCGTCGTCGTAGCCCCACCACCCTCGTCACCACCCATACCGCAGCGCACACAGCACACTAGACAGAACCCAGGGACAGCGTCAAGCAGGCAGCGCACACAAGCACGCACAGTACGCTTTGGCGCACATCCCAGCCTCCTACAACCAAGGCACCACAGCCCATCTCACCACCTGGCACACCGCTTCCAACCGACCACCACCATCACCGCCGCCGTCACCATGGGTCTCCTCGTAGCCCAGAGGTCCGCCCGCGCCTCGGCCCGCCTGGTCGCCCAGTCGCACCGCTCTTTCACCTCGACCTCGGCCGCCGCCAGGCTCGCCCCCCTGGCGAGCTCGGCAAG